GGGACCTCCCTTGCTTGTTTCAGAAAGTCTGTGAAGGCTCCTTGGGGACAGAATTGTCACAATCCTGTTAGGGTTGACGTAACATTATAGTCACATTGAGTAACTTAGAAACCCATTGCTCACTGTGCCGTAGGATGGAAATCCATGATCAAGGTGGCAGCAGATTCTGGGTCTGGGAATGATAGGGGAGTTCAGCCAATCATATTCTGTCCATGGGTCGTGTTGCCCTAAGGCAAAAGTTTACCTATAAACCTGGCAGGTACACTTCCCAGCCCTCTCTCTCTCTCTCTCTGGCCTGGATCCAGCTTTCCGGACAGTTGGGATTCTGGTGTAAGTTTTCTCTTTTGTTTTATTAAAGCTATATCTTTTGTAAACTAATCTGGCAAACCTTTAATTACTGATAGCACTATGTCATCATCTGACGCCCGAATGTGCGGGTTCCCCACCTCGCACTACGTCATCATGGGAAGAACCTGTTTCCTGGTTTGTAGATGGTGACTTCTTGCTCTGTCCTGCCAAACAGAGTAGCAAATAAACTCCTCAAGACCTGTTTAGTAAATACTTAAATTCTATCGGTGAGGTCCCTGCCCTCCTGGCTAAGACAACCTCCCAAAGATTTGGGAAGTGGGTTCCACTGTGTTTTGGTGGAAAGCAAACACTCAGACAACAGTTAGAATAGAAGCTGATGTAACAAGAGGGCCTGTTTGTTGAGGTTTCTGTCCTTCCCAGTTCTCACAGCTGGTAAGCCCCACCCCAAAAAAATTACACAGAGGTCTACATAAGTTATAAACTGATTGACCCATTAGCTCAGGCTTCTTATTAATGCTTATAATTAACCCATTATTTTTTATCTATGTTAACCACATGGCTCGGTACCTTTTTCGGTGGGGCAGGTCACATCTTCCTTTTGCTGTGTCTGGACAGGAATGTAGGAAGAACTTCCTTCTTCCCAGAATACTCCTGTTCTCATTGCTTCGCTTCTACTTCCTGTCTGGTTGTCCTGCCTATACTTTCTATCTGGCTACTGACTAATCAGTGTTTATTTGAAACATGATTGACAGAATACAGGTAATTCCCCCACACCAAGCTGATGCTTCTCTCCACTTCTCTAATCATTGCTCCTGTCACTCTGTAGCCGCAGAAAAGAGATTTGGGGCTCTTGGTGTTTGTGTTAAAGGCTGATCAAGGGAAGGCAGATGACTGCCGTGTGTTGAAAACTAAATGCACTTGCTTGGCCAGTATCCTCTTTCATTTGTCACTGCCATGAGAGAAGAGATATCATATTCATATTGTTCTCCTGACTTCCTCAATGCTCCTGGTAAATTGTTCAGACCTATACTTTATGTCATCGTTCTTTCTCCTATCACCTACTTAAAAAGTAATCTCCTTTAATCTTGTATTAATATTATGCATAAAAGAACCAAACATTAATCTCTGCTTTCACCTTAGGTTGCGAGAACATAGTCCCCTTTTATTAGTTTTTCAAAGTAGAAGATAAGGAAAATGCTAACAGTATAATTAAAGATGAAAGTAAAAGAAGACTTAATGAGATTTGAATTCCTGTAAGATGGGTTCCTAGGGCACCTTCCATTAAAGTCTAATTTCTGACAGTCACAGATAAGGGAGATGGATCCAACCCCCAACAGCTAAGTTTCTCGGATGTGATTTTCGACAGAGCTGTCAGAGGCTTTGCGGGCTGGGAGCTGTTAGTCTCAATGGGTATTGGCAGCGCTCCTTACTGTCCTCACCCTCTGGGAATATGTGACTTTAAAGTGACTAAACGCCAAAAGACCATATATGTGAAGAAAATGAGTTATGCGGCAGAGGGAGGTCCAGTCTCATAAGTCTCACAAGCCAAAGGTGAGTTAGAAAGGAGAAACGGGTTGGGGAAAATAGGATTAGGACACTGAGAACATTGCAAAAGAATAGAAAATATGGCTTAATTATATTTATTTTTCCAATCCTGTTGATAGAACTGAATCATTATGAGCCCATTGACAGAAAAGTTACTGTTATCATATATAATAAGTTAACAGCATATTGATTGCTTACCATTCAGAAGTGGGTCTGTGTGGATCTGGGGTACTCCCAGAGTTCGTTTTTACTTTTTGCTGAAGCTTACTTCAAACTTGTAGCAGTCTTCCCGACTCTGCCACCCAAGAATTGAGATTATAAGCACGGACTACCTTGCCAGTCATAACACTTTCTAGGGGCCTAAACAACAGAGTGTTTCCACACAGTCTCTGCAATCGTAGTTTGATCCAGCAGCTGTAACACTGGATGTTAGAGAGCCAGGCACATTCACGGTCCCTTTCCAATTAGATTATTCTAGAGACACAATGACCAGATATCATCTTTTATCTAAGATAGAAGGTTTGCAGGTTAGAACAGAAGCGCTATCAATAGTTGTTCTAAGGGTTGGGCCTGCAGTTCAGCTGGTAAAATACTTGCCTTGTGAGCGTGAAGAATTTCATTGACACATTAAAAAAAAAATGTGTTTTGGTGTGGTGACTCATGGCTTTAATCCCAGCATTTAGGAAGAGAAGCAGGCAGGCAACTGTGATTCAAAAGCCTGTTGTTCTACGTAATGAGTTCTGGCCTGTAGAGTGAAACCCTGTCTGGTGGATAGCAAACAAACAAACAAACAAACAAAAAACCCAAAGCAACCACTGGATGTGGTGACTCACTTGTAATTTCAGTTCCAGGAAGGCATACGCACACACACACACACACACACACACACACACAAGCAAACATAATATATGCACAGAGCTACACACACAAACACACTGAGGCACACATAGAGACACATGCTAATACACACAGACACACACAGACACACACGACACATTCACACATATACACTCAGATGTAGAAACACAGAGACATATGCTTTCACAGAAACACAGACACACAAATTGTGATCCAGCAGACATAAACTGCGATTTCAGCGACCCTGTCTCTTCTACTCGTGCAGTCTCTGTGACATCAAATACATCACAGTTGCTGTCACAAGCTGTGTGCCAGGCTTTGAGTGACTTCCCTTGACTCCAAAGGGAGGTGGCTACAAAGAAAAAGTCACACTTAGTGCCTGCTTATTAGTCCTTAAGGGGGTCGATAATCACAGAATAATAGGAATTTTGAATTTAGAGAAGCCTAGGAGGGCTTCTGCTCTAGAACACACACTGTCAATAGCTCTATTCCCTGGGGACAGTACCTTCTGTCTTCATTTTATTTCTGTTCTACCCACCCTCTGAAGGTCTCTTTTTACAGCATGGCCGAGAGGCTGCTTTTTGTGTCTAGATGACTTCTCTATAACTCCAGGTTTTGAAACCATGCACACTTTGAGTTAATATGGTTTAATTTGTGACTCCCGTACAATAATCCCACCTCCTCAGAAGAAATGATAGAGAGGCTTTATAGACTATTCACAGTATCTCTGTCTATTTACTAATCTATTGGTGAATTAATTACTAAGAAGCTCCATCTTGAATGACGAGTAAGCTGGCTGCAAGGGGAGAAAGTCCTGGGTAATGTGTGTTGCAAAAAGTTTTATCTGATATATCTTTATCCATACCTCAGTAGACATACAGGTAGGAAGCTTTTACAAGATATATACTTATACATGAAAGCATACCATAAGTGTGGTTTTATAAAGTAAACTTGAATTCCATTCTTTTATATCATCTTTTCCATTACTTTATAAAATAGTGTCTCATGTAGTTGATGCCGGACTTGAACTCAGGATGTAGTAGAGGCTGTCCTTGAACTCCTGATCCTCCTGCCTCCACTTTCCAAGTGCTGGGATTGCAGGTGTGTACTCCCATCTGGCAGCTAATCTGTGTCTCACTAGAGAAAGGTGTGACTCTGTATCTTAGGCATTGCATGAAGTTTTAATTCTCATACTGGGGTTTCTGCTGCTCATGTGCAGCACGTGCTAAAACATATCTTTACTTTTTAATTTTAGGAAGCTTACTTGTCAATATTGAAATCCTACTTGAACCCAAATCCAGCTTAACTGGTTTTCAAGAGAGCTGTCAACATTTCTGCTCACATTAACTTATATAGGTGTTCTTCTATGTGCAGTGGGGTTGTATTTTGTTATACCCTTCATATAGCCCAAACATAAAGAATAGAAAGTGTCTTTAAGAAAACAAACTTACTTCACATCCTAAATTAGCAGCATAGAGTTCTGATTGTCTCCCTTGTGTGGTTGTGTAGGGGCCATAGCTACATATCCTGTGTCACCATGACTGTCGGCTGGGAAGAGACCATACTGCAAAGTACAGATTCTACTGAATGTCCCTTATTCTGACATATTGTGGAGTCAACAGCTGTCAGCTGAGCCATCACAGACTGGGAGCCTCTAACACAGCATCTGCTTTATTTCGTTGTTTGCATGGCATATGTGTGCATGTATGTGAGTGCACGTGTGTAGATGGGGACCAGAGGTCTCATACTCTACTTTTGGAAAGAGTCTCTCACTGAACCTGGAGCTCACAAATTGTCTTAGTTGACTGTCTGCAAGCCCCATGGATCCTGTGTCTAACCGTCCCACCCCTACCCTCTGCGAGCTTGCTGGAATTGGGTGCACACCATCATGTTCTGGAACATGGGTTCCAGCAGTCTAAACTCAGGTCCTCAATTCTGCAGCAAGAATTTTACCAAATGAGCCATTTCCTAAGCACTATATAGTATCTATGAATCAATTTTAACTTATGTATGTGTGTGTGTGTACATGTGCACACATGCATGCATTCACTACAGACTGAACCCAGGACCTATGCACGTAAGCACACCTTTACCACTAAGTCATACATCCATCCCAAATTAAAACAATAAACAATTGAAGTGATCACTCTTTTAAAAGGCTATGCAAACTGTGTTGCAAGCATACATAAATTGAGTTTATAACTTGACAATTAAGTATCATTTCAGTAAATCAGTCAATAGAACTGAAGAGATTTGTTTAGCTATTATAAAATAACACATCGAAAGAGTATTTCTGAGGATTTATTGAAGCAGTAACAAGTTGGTCAGGTATTTACTGGGGGAAAAAAGCAGTTTTAAGGATATTCAAAAATACTTTAAAAAGTATTCTAGCACAAGATTTCTTCATAAACTAGACTGTGTTGTAGACCTCTAAATCTTTGGGGGTGTCAGTTGTTAGAAACTGGGGCTTATTTCTATCTCCAATCTATCTTGCGCTCCTGGAAAATGGCAGCAAAGGCACTTGGAAGCTGTTTCTGTAAGATGCGAATTCCTGTCTTCTTGCTGGTGGTGCTGCGCTGTTGCACGGAGTTCGTGCAGTTTTTACTCAAGGTCATCGTGATGCTGAGAGGTTTCATTGATCACCTGCTCAAAAAGGAAATAAGTCAATTTATGGAAAGAAGACACAGCCCTAAAGAGACAGCATTTACTGAGCAGGCGGGGGATTATGCTGACTCTTCATAGCAAGGGCTTCTAGAGAGATGCATAGGCAAGATTTTCTCCTGCAAGTAATAGAATTAGCCAATGGAAGGTTCTGACCTACAAAATAGTTGAAAACTGAGTTTAGGAAGTTTGCGGTAGCAATCCTAAGCAGAAAGCTCAGAAGCAACAAAACATATTAAAATGTATTAAATAAAATGTTTTTTATATTCTCTTGCGAAGTTGAGCTTTCATAATTATACTTAATTGTAACCATTTCTTTCCTAGCATAAAGAGGCAAAAAGACACTAATTGACTATATGCAAGTCCTTGTACTATATAAACAGGTGACAGTCACTGAGAGAGAACTGTATGTCCAATGTCTAAGCATCCCTGATAGTCACTGATGCCATTAGGCAAAGCCCTTTAACGCATTCCATCTAGAAAGTACCTTAAGGGTATTTTACTTTCATTTCAAATTGCAAACTTTAGAGTGCAGGAAGATTACTGCCGCATTAAGGACTAAACAACCAGGGTCTATTCTTCCCTGGGCCTGGGGACCTCACAAGGGAGCTGCCTGCATCTGGTATATATGCTTGCTGACTTAAAGGGGATCGATGCATACTTGAAATGGCTCTTTATTTATAAAATATCCTTTTGTTTTTTCCCTTTCCCATATTTTATCTAAAAGGTACCAACCTGTCCATCTCTGGTTTCAACCGTCTTAATCAGGAGTGTTCTTTTTGAGTGGGTGTCCACCAGAGGGAGCGACTCCAGATTAGTTTCTGAATTAAAAAAAAAAAGGTAAAAATGAAAAATTTTAAAAACTAGCCATTTTATCCAAAGCATTATGACTTTATATTTGCAGCCGTTTAAAGTACTACTTGTACATAATTTTACAAAGCATTATCTGTTTGAATACATAGTACCTGAGGCCTCCTTCACTCAAACTGAGATAGTAGTTCACTGTGTACACCATTAGGAGGGAGCAGTCTGGGATCTACAGCTAACTTAGTGTGGGTTTGAAAGTTAGGGAATTAGACCAGGAGTATAGCTCAGTGGGAAAGCACCTGCCTGGATCAAGGCCCTGGGTTTGATCTTCAACAGTAATGTAAACTATAGTGTAAGAGGAAATGGGTCCCGTACTAAATGGTCAAGACTGAAAACATAGACATACAAATAAAATTAATAGACTGAGCCATTGTATGTATTATTTAGGAATACATAACTAGCTAGATATGCATATGTGTGTGTGTGTGTGTGTATATGTGTGTATATACAACAGCAATTAAACCAAAAGAAGCCATGATCTTAAAAGACAGCTGTGTGTGTCAGGGGTAATACGTGGGAGGCTTAGAGGGTGGAAAGGGAAGGGGAAATGATGTAATTATATCATAACCTCAAAAAATAGAAAATAAAATGATAGATGCATATACTTATAAAAAAGGAGGTCATGGATATTTCATAGAATTTTCTCTAGTATAGAAAATTCTGTTCAGTACCACTAAAAAGGGGATGCTGTGCTACTGAGTGATTGGTTGTAACCTTGAAATGACATGCTTACCTCTCAGGTTCAGGGAAGAAAAGTTTGGAAGAGGCAGAGAAATCCTGTAAAAAGAGAAGAAACATTTTTATTTTATTTTATTTTAGACAAGGCACTTTGACAAGAAGAAACAAGTTTACACACTTATTGCTTTCATTCTTTAGGAAATCTGTTGCTGTTAGAGATCTGATTCAGAAACATCTACCCATGGTTGGTCTCATCAGCCCATTTAAAATATTGCAAGCGTTTTCTTCACAGGGAATTATAGAGGGGAACGTATTGACTTTGGCGTGGTAGTGAGTTCAAATCCTGACTCTGTTATTAATTAGCTCTGACCACAGCAAATTAGTCTCCTTGAACCTCAAGTTCTTCAACTCTCAAAAGTGTAGCTACCTTGAAGAAACGGTCTCAGGGTTAAACGAGAGGGACCTGGAGAGTCTGTAACGACTTAAACCCTCGGCAAGCAAGTCGGCTTCGCTACCTGCTCTCCTCGCCTTCCAGCAGCTTCCTGTAGGTGGCGATCTCAATGTCAAGCGCCATCTTAACATTGAGCAGGTCTTGGTATTCACGAAGGTGGCGAGCCATCTCTTCCTTCATGTTCTGAATCTCATCTTGCAGGCGGCCAATAGTGTCCTGGTAGTTAGCAGCTTCAAGGGAGAAATTCTCTTCCATCTCACGCATCTGGCGTTCCAGGGATTCATTCTGCAGGGAGGAAGAAGGGCTTCTGGTGTGATTTCCCAACTCCAGCTGTCCCCAGAACAATTACAAACCACATGCACTAGTCCTCTTAAACCAGTGCCTGATAGTTTCCAACGGAGAAGACAAGCCCGGAGTCCCACGTTTGTTTCATTGAGATAAAATGTCTACGTGGACACATTATGGAATACTTACAATACCCCTGCCTTGGTCTCCAGAGTGCTGGGGTTACAGGAGTATACTCCTGTGCCCGACTCTAAAATATCTCTTATCACAGTCAATAATATATGTAAGCTAAAACTTTTAAGATACCCACTGAATAATTCTTAAAACTGTCTTTGTACATAATTGTGTCTGTATATATGTATATATAATGGAGATTATATATTATATACAATATATTTATATATTTTATGTATAGTCAAAGAATATAGATTATCACATATATTTAATTTGTCTCTCCCTTTTGCTGCTGGGTACTCACCGTTCCTTTAAGGGCATCCACCTCGCAGGTGAGGGACTGCACCTGTCTCCGGTACTCATTGGACTCCTGCTTTGCCTGACGCAGAGCATCGTTGTTCCGGTTGGCAGCCTCAGAGAGGTCAGCAAACTGTCAGGAAGAAATCAGAAATGGCGACTGCTCACTCCCAAGACACTTCACCCTCTTAGGAGAGTCGTCATCGTCTGACTCAGTGTTTCCTAGGACATGTCTAAATGTCTGTTTGGGAAGTCGGGGAGAGAGGAGTGGCCACTGGTGCTGCTGTTGGCAGTGAGGTGTTCTTTGAAGCAGAGTGGAAGGCAATGGGCGGGAAGGGTGTCTGCCAAACTAAAGGAGGCATCGCGCGAGGCAGGAGCACGGAAACAACAGAGCCAGCTTCTGGGGAAAGCTTGGGGCTATTGATGGACTTGGAGGCAGACGTTTGCGAGCAAGAGGCTTTTCTGTTGCCCCAGCACTCGGGGTCCATTCATACCTTGGACTTGTACCATTCCTCTGCTTCCTGGAGGTTCTTGGCAGCCACGCTTTCGTACTGCTGGCGGACATCACGCAGGGCAGCCGTGAGGTCAGGCTTGGAAACGTCCACGTCAATCTGGACGTGCTGTTCCTGAATCTGGGCCTGGAGCTCCTGGATCTCCTGAGGAAGTAAGAGTCAGAGAGGGGTCAGATACGGACAACGTGGGTGCAACTTCGCCTTGCTCCGTCGCTGAAAGTGACGTCACTTACTTCGTCATGCAGTTTCTTCAAAAAGGCAATCTCTTCTTGCAAGGATTCCACTTTACGTTCAAGGTCAAGACGTGCCAGAGACGCGTTGTCCACATCCTATTTTAAAGAGAGAAAAGATGATGTGGGGGCACTAACGCCTATTCTTTATTTTATCTAGTTATATTAATGCTTTTTTCATTTCATGTTATGTATATGGGTGTTTTGTCTATATGTATGTAAACACACCACGTGTGTAGTGCCCATGAAAGCCAGAAGAGGGCTTCGTGTTCCCTGGAACTGGAGTTAAGAGCAACTCAGTGGGTGCTGGGAATTGAACTTCAGGTCCTCTAGAAAAGTAGCGAGTGCTCTTGACCACTGACCCATCTCTACAGACCCTTATTTGTGTGTTTGTTTGTTTGTTTGTTTATTCATTCATTTAAAAACTAACCACATGACACCCATCTGCCTTACTCTAGAAAAGGTGCTGAAAATTTCATGGCTCTTGATAAATTTATAAATTATTTAGTGTCACATTCCAATATACATTCTTAGCTATAAAAATAAATTGAAAGTCATTCTGTTGCATTGAAGGTAACTAGTAGACAATTTAAAAAGAAATACATGTGTGTGCACATGACACGGCATGGCGAACTCTATTGAGTCTAAATTTCTACATATAAAATTTCATTATCAATTTTAAGCCTGAAAAATCAGTGTCACTGCACTTAATTTTTTTTTAAATTTTGTGATGATTGTATTTGATCTGATTCTACTACTCCTTGTCTGCCTGCTACATGTTAATATAAGAACGCAAACTTCAAAAAGTAAAAAAATTAAAGTGCGATGTGGGACAGCTGAGGAGATGGCTGGTTAGGTGTTAGCATGCTGGTCTCTCAGGATCTGAGCATGGCTTCCAGCACCCACATTGAGCAGCTCACAAAGGCTTCTAAAGTCAGCTCCAGGGGATCAGATGCCCTCTTCTGGTCTCGTGTTACCTGCACAAATGTGGTACACACTCCCACAAACATACGCACACAAGCATCTCTCAAATACTGAGTTCAAGAGATTTAACATATATGCAGGCTCTTTTTGTTTCCCCTATGTAAACCTTCTGATGCTTATCTTTGGGATCCAGAGCAAGTGCCCAGCTATCTGGCATCCAGGTTCCCAGGTCAGACTCACATTAAGTAGCAATTCATTGATCACATTCAGGTCACTCATTTGCAGAGACAAGCTCATCAGGCAAGAAGGATAAGAAGTGATTTAATCCTGATATATATGGTTTTTGCCTTCTCTGAATATTTTGAAATGCCCCCTGTAGGGTATTTCTATCTTTCTCAGTCATTGTTGTTATGAATTCGGTGATGCTGCTGTTTTAGGATGCTAGGGAAAAACACAATGAGACTGTGTGTAGACTCCTTTACAGAGATCTTGCTGGGTGGTGGTGGTGCATGCCTTTAATCCTAGCACTCGGGAGAAAGAGGCAGGAGGATCTCTGTGAGTTCAAGGCCAACCTGGTCTACAAGAGCTAGTTCCAGGACAGGTTCCAAGGTTCCAAAGCTACAGAGAAACCCTGTCTCAAAAAACCAAAACACCAAAAAAAAAAAAAAAAAAAAGAAAGAAAGAAAAAGAAAAGAGAAGAAAAGAAAAGATTCTGCAATCTCGCTATTATAGTTTGCTTCCCTTGAAGGGAATGTCAGGATTCTTATGGCCCTTCTCTTGTAAACAATTGTATTTACAGCATAGTTTACAGCTTTATCGTTCTAAAATATTGAGTTATGCTATCATCCTCAAAGCAAATGCAAATTAATAAAAATGAAATAAAAACTTCAGTAGTAGTAGCATTCATTTCTGCCTTTCACTGAGTCCTCAAAAAGATATAAATGATATTGGACTAACCTTTTTTGAAAAAGTCCAATGAAATGTTCCTTTTATTTAAGTGAATGAAGTTCATAAATAAGAAACGTTGCCTATCCACCTGCTTTGCAGAAAACATTCCTTGGGTGATGACCATGTACCCTCAGTGACTAAAATGAGCCACATATTCTTGTACTGCCGCTACATATCCAAATATCTCTCATTTTCAAAATGCTACCCTAGAGCATCGGTCTGGAGAGCTTTGTAACTGATTCTAATGAGCATTCCCAGGGACAAGATGGTACTGGCCATCTTTCCGCTTTGGCACGCTAAGGAACCACCTAACTTTGAAACAAAAACAAACAAAAATCACTCCATCATATAAAACTCCACTCTTCAGGCTAGGATTTATTTTATTTGTGGAAGGTGCTAATAAGTCTACAAGCCCGTAAAGCGAGGCCTTTCCAAATGTGGAAGATTGTAGCTTTAGGAACTTTGTACACCAGCCACATACTTCACAAGCTCGGGCCAGGCAATAGATAGGGGATGTTAGCAAATACTTGTGTCCAGTTGGAACTGTGGCTACATCATTACATATTCAATAAGAATGTAGCCTGTTGCAAAGCTGCTCTGGGAACACAAAGGATCCTATTATTTCTGTCCAGAGCCACCGCATTTACCAGGACGGTCGGAATCTGCATTCCATAGTGAAGCCCATAGAAACTCTTAATACCCTGCAGCAGTGGGCACAGATGGGGCTTCCTTTCACCGGTGTTAGATTACAAAAATGGTTGTGCAACGATACTTCGGCTAGCTTTCATGCAGTACCGAACTTCGAAGGAAGAAAGGGAACTTGGCTTAATTCCAGTTAAACTTTCTCATCCTCCGGAGTATTCTACATTTCAAACTTGAGGGTGCAACTGTGCTTTGTGTGACCTTGTGAAAGCTAGCCAACTCGACTTTCACAAACCACAATCTAATCGAACTGTAACCGTTCAAAATCAGAATGCTAATGTGTTTCAAAAAATGTTTTGGGGGAAGAAAATTCTGGAAACGAAACAAACAAACAAAAAAAGAACAAAAAAACTTCATGTTGTAAGGACTGACCTAAACAATGAAGTTTTTCAATCTATGGACTTTCTTCCACCAGGGCGCTTTACAGGCAGACGTGAAGTTTTGCACCCTTTAAATCCTCGGTGAAGTAACTTTTAGAACTGCCAGTGCTTTGGGTGGGTGGGGCTGCTGTCTGCAAGTGAAAAGTCTACAAACCTGTCTGAAGGACTGCAGGGTGCTCTCGGCTTCCTCTCTCTGAAGCATCTCCTCCTGCAATCTGTAACGGTAATGCATTTAGTAGGGTGGAACCGGGAAATGGCCAGGGGAGGGGCGGCCACACCCAACCACATCGCCGCCACTAAGCCTCCAGGCCAGAGCAGCTGTGACACCAACGACAGCAACTTTGTCAAGCACACAGCCCTCTGCAGGTGTTAGCTGGAGTTGGGGCACAGCCTGAAAGGACAATCACGGCAGCATTTCCCTAGACCTGCAAGGGGAACCCCAGTCCCAGCGTCCCAGTCGCCTCTGCCATCTCTTTGTTTCAGATCCTTCACATCCATCCTCTCCTCCTATCTGGTAACTGAAAGCCCACCAGAAGAAGCTAGCAAACTTTTTTAAAGTCCTGGGGAAGAGCTCAAGTGGAGCTCGAAGCGAAATGTTCACTGCAAAGTTTAGTTTCAGGGCGGGGCCGCTTCCTCTACTGCTATCCTGCAGACAACCACAGCCCCGGCCACATCCCCAAGGGCGTGGCAGCCCTCGAACAGAGCCCGGGACTCCCCTCCCTCCCACAGCCCCACTATCGCGTGGGTCAGGCCTTACTTCTCTCGCAGCCGCATGATGTCCTCAGCCAGGTTGTCACGCTCCACCTCGACACGGGCCTTGTCATTGGTGAGCTGGTCCACCTGCCGGCGCAGCTCCCGCATCTCCTCCTCATACAGGTCGCCCAGGCGCGACTTGCCTTGGCCCTTGAGCTGCTCAAGCTCGGCCAGCAGGATTTTGTTCTGCTGCTCCAGGAAGCGCACTTTGTCGATGTAGTTGGCGAAGCGGTCATTCAGCTCCTGCAGTTCCACCTTCTCGTTGGTGCGAGTGTTCTTGAACTCGGTGTTGATGGCGTCTGCCAGCGAGAAGTCTACCGAGTCCTGCAGCAGCCGCACGCCAGGCATGCTGCTCCGCAGGCGCACCGCAGAGGACCTGGTCACATAGGCGCCACCAGGGGATGAGGAGTAGAGGCTGCGGCTGGTACTGGGGCGCAGCGAGCTGCCCAGGCTGTAGGTGCGGGTGGACGTGGTCACATAGCTCCGGTTGGAACTCGGCCGGCTCGAAGTGCCAGGGCCACCAAACATCCTGCGGTAGGAGGACGAGGACACGGACCTGGTGGACATGGTTTCGAGGGCGAAGGTGGACTCGGCTGCTGCGGCTGCAAGCGTAGGAGCGCTGTTGTCTCTGGGGTCCCGAGCAAGAGTGGCAGAGGACCGGACCCCGCCAAGGGCGCTGCTTTTATAACACTGTTAGGAAAGAGGGTCCCCTCCCACTGCCATCCTAGCCGCTGGGCGCGCCAACCAATGGGGGCCCGGAGAGAAGTGAGGAAGGCGGGAGGGGGGAGAGGGGGGGCAAGGGGGTGTCCCTCGAGTCTTCTTTCAGAGCTGTCGGAGATCGGACACATCCCGTTACTTTGTGGACAGGGCTAGGACTTTCTGGGGCTTTCCAGATGATCACCCTGAACTCCGGGCTCCCTGGGTTCTAAGAAAGGAGGGATCGCGGGATGGATGGGTGGGGGAAGGGGAGCTCCGGAAAGTTGAGCAAAGTGGTCCCTGGCACTGCGCCAAAGGGGCGTGGGACTAGGCGCGCCGGTGGGAGGGGCGCGGTCGCAGAGCTGCGGTCTTCTGGGACTGGGTGGGTGGGGAGACCTGTGAGTGGAGGAGCAGGAAGAGCAAGCAAAGGCTGTGTCCTGCAGATCGGAAGGCGGGGAGAGAGAAACAAAGAGAGCCTGAGATTGGGGCACGTAGTGGAGAAGCCCTCAGCCCACCATACCAGGCTGAAGGACAGACACTCGGATCCTTTACAGAGGGCTGGCTTGTTTTGGGTGGTCGTATCCGGGATTTAATGGACTCAGTCCAACTCCAGAGGGCCAGGATCCACTGCCTCCTGACTAAAGCCCAGGGGACAGGGGTGGGGTCGCTGAGTCAATGGTGGTGACTCATGAATCCCTGAGGGTGAGATCGTCTAGCGGTTCAGGAAAAACCGTTAGTTGAGATTGACTCAAAACTCTGAGAGCGCCAAGCTCATTGTCCCAAGTTTCAAACCACCTCTGAGCGTAACCGCTCTTTTGATTGTTGTCGTGGAGACACCAGAATGTGGTGAGCTCCCCTTAGGAAGAAACTTCTGAGAGCCACCGAACTCATCCCACCCCCTCCCAGATCGCAAATGCACTCAGCGAGGCTTTCCTTGCTAAGTTCCCTCCCGCGTTTCCCTCCCTTCTTTTCTTCCTCCATAAAACCACACCCTAACTTCTGGGTGAAAGAGGAAACTACGTTGGTAGTTTCAAAAAATAAGCTCAATGATCACGGTCTTTTCTGAAAGTAGAATTCATGAAAAGATAACCCGAGCCAGACAAGAATTCGTTAGGTATCGTTAAAAAAGAAAGAAATAAAAAGAAAGAAAGGAAGGAAGGAAGGAAGAAAGAAAAAAACAGAACAAAAATCCCATCCAATTTGATGAATGAGTTCAAATGAAAGACAGTTATGTAACTCAAATGATGACTGAAAAAAGAGATTTGTGTTGTTTTTAGGGCGATGCAGATGGAGAAGATTCTAGAGACTGGTCTGGACAATGTCACAGATCCTTTTTCCCCCACAAGAATTTGTAAAGTATAACTTGAAATGGAGATGCAACTGTCCACAGAACAAAAGGTCCAGATGCTGTTTAGGTCCAGCGAAGGTCACCTGTCAAAGGGAAACCAACTGTCCAGCTCAAGGCTACTGTTTCACTGTTAACAACTAGACAGGACCGAGGGGTCTTGGTTCTCCAGGGGAGATGGAGCTTCCAGGAAAGGAAAGTCAGGCCCCTTGTGATTAAGCAGAAGAAAAAAAAAAATCAATCTATCCCAGTTGCTTTGGGGAGTACTCTGAGTGGGTATTTATGGAGTACTGAAAGAATTAATTACAAGAGAGCTGGGAAAAGGGTCCAGATGAGGAAAAGGCTTGTGTTATATTTTTGCTTTTGTTTTTCTTTGGGGCAGAGAATAGCCACAGCTTACCTGGCAATTAAGAAAAATGGCTTAGAGACGCTTGGAGTTATGCTAGCTTCGTTGTATAAGGTTCTTTGAAGCAATAGTGTGTTTACCTCATCTCAGTCAGTTCTGGGGATTGTCACTGCCAGCAGGACCCTCTGGGGCCCGGTTCTCCCGCTGTGGCTTTCTTTTTTCTCTCTTTCAATGAGAGGCTGTGAGTCCTTCCCAGAGGGCATTCCTGGGGTTAGCCTGTGCCTCACGTTACCATCCTGTGCACTGAGAGCCTTTTATTCAAGCCACTGTTCAGCAAATGTCACCATTGTGAGTTTGCTTGGAATGGCTCAGGATGAGAAAAGTGATTTCCCTGTGGGGCGGAGGGAGCACAGCCCGTCCTTCTACATGGCATGTTGACTCCCGGGCAGTGCAGTGGCTTTGTCAGTGGACTCTAGCAGAATGAGTCACTGTGGAAAATGAGGACTGGATTCTGGTGTGGCGTGGCAGTGTGCCATGTGGGCACCCACAGCAAATTCCTCAGGTTGTGTGTGATGACTTCTTTAGTAGGCCCTGGTCTCCTCCATCATCTGAAGGGTCTCCTTTCTCTCTGGCCAGATCCCCTTCTGTAGTCTCAGGAAGGTCTATGAATATTCTCCTTCGACTGTTGATATGTCTGCTGATATCTCTAAAATGGACAGAACTCTGTGTTTATTTACGAGCATGCACTGTTCAATTTATTCTTCATTTTAGAAGTTTTTAGAAGGTAGAGAAGGGAATTGAAAACTACTACAATTCATTCATGGAGAAGTCATGAGTCTTGGGAAAGAATTTGTTTCACTATACACTCATACACACACACAAACACACAGAGACACACACACAGACACCCACACACGGGGAGGGGTCTCACACAGCACTCTACCCAGGAGGTGACATTGGCAGCAGGTAGAAACCAGTATGTTGGAATAAATGACCTCACCATCACTCACTGTGTACTAACTTTTGAAAGTAAACAGTCTATGATAGCTTCCTCAGTTTTCATATTTATTTTTAATTGCTATGAAAGCCTACCTCAAGTATTTTTAAATGCTTGACTTATGTGTGATTCAAGTTTGCATATAAATAAGTGAACGGTCATGTGAGCTGCAGGCAGGCAAACCCGATCACATGTGAAGTACAAACAGTGATTTGGGAATTTGCAAGCTTTGGCCATGTCAGTTGAACGGGGTGACTTGAGTTGACAGACCAGCCAGCCGTGCGCACAGGAGCTTAGTGGCCTATGGAGGCTTTGGGAAAGCTGCCGACAGGAGGTCATATCAAGAGGAGCGCAGCTGGCAGAACCTGTGGGTGAACACTGGGAATGAGAGGGCAGGTAGAATGAGGCATAGTGATGCAAGCCTGTAATCCTACCACCTGAATGGTGGAGACAGGAAGAGGAGGAGTTTAAGTCTTTTTTTTTCCTGCATAACTCTTTCAAGGACAGCCTAGGATGCCATGACACCCGCTTCTCCATCTAAACAAACAAAATACCCACAGAGGTATAAAAATCATATGGCATCCTATAAACATGCACAGCTTTTATGAATCAAAATTAAAATCAAAGAGGCTAAAAACAAGACAAAACCTAAGTCCCGATGAAGAAAATAAGTAATACAAGTGTTTTTATTTTTATGCTTACTGGATGGGGGATATTGTATGCACACTGAGTTTAACTTAATGCTGCTAGAGCATCCATCAAGTTATACTTGACCCTTCTTTCAATGACTTTTCTGTTTGATTTCATAGTGATAGTTATCATACCATCAACAAATTCAATTCATGAATAACATTCAGGCATTTGTTGCGTCCTAGAAATTAAATGGCAGAGTAATTACTTACTATCTTGCTGGGTGCCAGACTCCTAGAGGGATTTGGCACGGGCACACAACAGGTCCTTTGTCTCTGAACACCGTCGATAACGATTGGGATTTGTTTGCGCCTTAGTTCTAAATGCAAACTTTGCTTAGAAGTTAAACATTTTCACCTACATGCTGCCCTGCTCCTTCGGTAGTCTGCTAAGCAACATTAGACACACACAGCTCATATCACACCCTAAAAACCACCATCCACAGCAGCTTCCCCAACCCAACTTCACTCTGTGGAGCACTTTAGTGAGGAAACAGGACTGGAGACTTTGCCGTCACCATTTCCTCATTCTGTACCTCTTAGGTCCAATGGGGAAGGTGTCCCACTGATACCTGCAGCCACATGTCTCTTATGCTGCTGTCACCCAAGTTCAGGTGTTTGAGTCCTTTTGTCCCTCCTTCCTGTGATACTACAGCTGGCTTCTGCTCATCCAGATATTCAGTTTCTACCAGTGCATCTGTCTTAGGTCTCAACCCCTTTTCTTAAAGATTTTGTTTCTACAATTCCAAGACCGTCTAAAGAGGATTACTCATCCCTTTGCTAGGATATGGGCACTATGAGGTGAAAGTCCACGTTCACTCTTTCCCACTGCTTTATTTTTTGTGTTTTTTGTTTGTTTTGTTTTTGTTTTTGGAGACGGGGTTTCTCTCTGCAGCAGTCCTACCTGTCCTGGAGCTAGCTTTGTAGACCAGGCTGGCCTCGAACTCATAGAGATCCACCTGCCTCTGCCTCCTGAGTGCTGGGATTAAGGGTGTGCACCACCACTGCCTGACTCACTAATCTTTTTTCAGTGGCTGGAGGAGAACATTTGTTGAGTCTGTGAATAAAAGGAATAAAGGGGGTGAGACTAGCATTCAGTGGAATAAAGAGACTAGCATTGAGACTAGCATTCAGTGGCTTGTGCTATGCTCCTTCAGAATGCTCATCCCTTTAGATGGGATGGAACTCAAACTTTATGGGAAGTTGTGAACTATATATTTTATTCATTTATTCAAGATATACTTATCGAACATTTAACCATTGCTAGACACCTTGCCACAAACTGGAGAAGAAATGTGTAGTCCATATCTTCTTGCAGTATTATATGGAGTCTGTGTGAGTATGTGCATGTCCAACAGAGACAATACTCAAAGGGGAAAAAATCTTAAAAAGCTGTAATAAAGGCCATGATGCCCACAAATTAAAAAATGATTCGTATTTGCTTTCTCCACTGTATCCGATGCTTCATAGTAGAGTGAGGTAAGTTGAAAACTTTTCCTGCCCATAGGGAGGAGTTAAGAAGCCAGAAAAAAGAAACAGGTGGCTCATGCCTATCATCCCAGCACTTGGAAAGTGGGGGCATTAGGCTACATACCTAGTTCAAGGACAACCTAAGCACATGAGAGCCTGTCTCATAGATTATGACAAATAGTGAATGAGAATCATGATGGATATATGAATGAAATGCTGAAGGGCTTATAAGAAGAAATTATATCCATTTGAGGGAGACCCAAAATGTATGTACTAAGATATTTTTGAAGAATGATGTGGTTTCCACAGTAGGTCACAGTGGAGAAAGTATTTCCCAAGCTGGCCAATCAGCATAGGCAAAATCTGGGTCTTCTGAGGAATACCAAGAAGCTCAGAGTTGCTGGATTGCGAGGCAGAGGTAGAGGGAAGGGAACTGGAAGCTAGCACGGGGCCATGCGTTGGAAGACCAAATGCCAGGGAGAGGAGTTGGTAATTGATGCAGTGGGCAGTGGAATTCTCTGCGGTTTCTGAGGAGAAAGACATGCTTGTTGCTGCATCTTAGGGGGTTGCTGTGGCATGCTGTTGAGGATGAATTGGGCAGACTACTTGAGAGCTGTTTGTAATAGACTAAAGAAACCGAAGTGAAGGCGAGTCTTAGAGACTAGATAGAGGCAGAGAAAGAGAGAAGCAAACGCATCTCTGGGCTTCCTGGACAGGGTAATCAAGAGAATGAGTATATTCTAGGCAGAACAATTTAGGCAGGAAATTAATCTGAGGGAAATGATTATTCATTAAGGTCTGTCATCAAGAAGAGCATTTGCTACTCTAGTCAATGTAGATTAAAATCTTGTAAAGGTGAAGCAGAGCTATTTTAACTCAATGTTATTTCTTACCCACTCACAGGAATAGTTCAGGTTAGTTGTCTTTTACTTCCCCTGGTCTGCTTTCAGTGTGTTTGGTTTCCATAGCTACAATGATGAAATCATGAGTGTCTTTGGTATCTCCACACTTCTTAGAAGACGAGGGGACAAAGAAACTTCAGCATCCTCCTCTAGAGATGTCTTTCAACTTTGGGAAGGAAAAGCAGATAGCTATCCACAGAATTATCCAGAAAGTCTAACTTCTTAATCATCTTGTTACAATCTACAGAAGAGGAAAGAAGGTGGAACATAGGTAGAAGGAATGAAACTGTTAGTTGATGTGCAGAAGGGAAACCTAATGTAGAAACCAAAACAGTCCCAGCAAATGTTACATGGGGAAGCGCAGCTAGATTCTGTGAATTTGTCCACTTATTGAAGGGGATAAAAGAAGAGATGGAAAAGAAAGAAGATTGGGGATCAAAAATCTCTGCCATCCCAATTATAAAATCAAGATGGCATTTTAAAGAGCCCTAAATGAAATTGTTGTAGTATAGCTACTTATCGAGATTATTTTAACAAAACTGTTACATATTTGTTCAATGGTTTATAATGTGGTTTCCATTACTTTTCAAAGATTAGGGAAGGACTGGAAGTTAGTATCTCCAAGGTCAAGTGGCCTTGACTGCAAGGCAGGGCAGGTACAGGCTTCATTTCCCCCCACCAAGAAGCTGCCCCCCGAGGAGATGACAGGCAGCCTAGAGACCTGGTTCGCTTGCTTCTCCTGCAATCACAAGAAGTCTTGTGATGTAAAAGTGGATTGTGCTCGCCACACTGGGGCCATCTTCTCTACGGATTCCTCGAGGAGTCCAGACACCCATCATGTGTCTGTCAGAACCAGCAATTGGACAGATGCCTGCGAGACAGCCAATCAGTACAGTAGCAATATCAAGGCCCTGTCCCTCAGCAGTCCCTCACCTGAGTACCAGTTCAGAGACATTCCAGGGCTTCAGGATGTAGGTCTTATGCTGTGACAGCCCTCCCTCTGAGGGTACGGAATAGAAGTGAATGGGTCCAGGCTGCGGTAGTCTTCCCTGTGTGCTCATGGAGTAGGTGTGTGTGTGTGTGTGTGTGTGTGTGTGTGTGTGTGTGTGTGTGTAAACACAAATATGGCTGCAATGGTGACCCTGGTTGCTCATAGATGGGATAGAAGTGAGGAGAGCCATGCTGCCCGGAGTAGCCTCAAACTTCAGGACCTTATGCCTTAAATGACTCTTCAGGTTGCTCCCTTCTTCTGCCCCCAGCCCTGCCCCCAAGATTTAGGTTCCTGGTTCTTCTGGTGACAGTTTCTGACATCCCTGGCAAGGAATAGCTGTGGGACCTGCAGCGGCCTCACCAGCACCTTGACTTTAGGGAACTCGATTTCCTCTTCTCCAAACCTTCTTGTACTTGTGATTTGGGAGGCAAGGCTACTGATTGCCCTGGTCACTTGGTTGGGCTTTGTGGAGGAGTCCGTTTTCATCTTCATTTCCTTTTGTAGAAAAGATAGGGGCTGGATTGGGAACAATTGTCACTCACAAGTCTGTAAATAAAGCAGTTAGTATGGGGGGAAAAGGCTGTATGGGGGTGGTCATGCTAATCTTAGAAATTTTGCCAATTACCTTGGTATCCTGGGAAATTGCTAATTTGTGGAGATCATGTAGTTCCCAAGTGGTGGGAGGTTACTGTTATTATTATTGTTGTTCCTGGAAATGTAAGAAATCAGGTAATAATAAAGTGAAATTGTTTTGTAGCACAGTTTCTTGTATGGAGCTGAAAGTATTTTTGTTACTCTTCCTTACTTTTGATGGTTCCATACGGACATGCCCTGTTTTGTGTTTATATTAAAACCCTCATTACCCTCTGCTACAACCCCCCTTTTCCCTCTGAACCCCTTCTAATTCTAACCCCAGTGACTACAACATGAAAAAAAAATCATACCCTCCCCTTTAGTGACAACTAGCAGTCCCCTGTTCTTTAGGAAGAAATGGGCCCTCATGGGCACCTCCTCTATCCACGATGAAATGGTGAAGGGACTGAGCTTACGCAGGTAACCATGGCTGCCTAGTGTTCATGGCTGCAATAGCCACGTCATGTGTGAGCGATAGCATCTCATGGCGTTCTTCTCTGTCTCCCTCTGTTAATTCTTTCTACTTCCTCTTCTGTGATGCTCCCCGAGCTTTAGAGGACACAGATGATATCAATGTCCCATTTGGGGCTACGCCTCGACAGCTATTGAATTTCAGCGCCTTGTATGTGAGTTCTGCATTAACTGTCATTCTTTGCAAAAGGGACTTTTTCTGCTCTAGATTCAGAGGAACACTAGCCTATGGTTATAAATAAAAATATTTAGAAGACAACTTGTCAATATATCCTCTTAGGGATACAACAGTAGTACGCCCACCTCCTTCAGCCTATGAGATCTCAGCCTTTCCGCCAGGCTTATAATACCAGGTGTGTCCTCCCTTCCTATGGAGCAGGCGTCACAGAAGTGTCAGTTGCCCAAGGATCAGCAGTGCCGCCATCGCACCAGTCCTCACGCCTTGCTTGCTGTGTCAGTGTCGCAGTGCGCATGCACCATAGCGTGGTGCTACTGTTGAGGAGCCTCCTCCCCCAAAGGCCTTTACAGCACCTATGCAGCAGGAGGAACGCTCTTCAGTGGGAAGCAATGGTTCTGGAGTCTTTTTGGCATTTTTTGCATAGTGTCTATCTCTTTGCATCCCCCCCGCCCTGCTCTGATGAAGCAACAGGACTCATTTTAATTCAGAGAATGCTGTGGCTTTAGAGAGTCATCCCAGAATTACGGACATCTTAGGGGTTTTCTGTGTACATTTCATTTTTCTACTTTTGACTCAACCTGTTAGAATGAATTGATAGTGATGTCACTTGATTCCTGCATACAATTAAATGAATAAAAACGTTAGCCCATGTTTGCTAATAGAAATGAAATAAATGGAACAGAGTTTGCGTGTGTATTGCGTCCACAAGCGAGAACACTCCTGCTGTTTACCCACTCTGTATTAGTATGAATGGAGGGGAAAAGTTTTTTTTTCTTTTAACATTTTAGTCCTTTGGGCTATTAATATTGCACAAGCTAAGAATAATGCAAGAGTTGCACGAAATGAGAGGAAGTTCAAGACGTCCAAGGACAGTCAGGAGTTTTCAAGGCCAAACCAAAGCGTTACTGATAAAGCACCACGTAGGCTTGTTCTCCAGTTTTAAATTTGTTCTCAACCATCCTTCTGCTTTTACATACCAGATTTTCCCTAAAGAATGCTTATAAACATTTGCTTTATTTAAAAAATAGAGCATGCTTAAAGTTTTGGGCGTGTGGGAGGGACGGAAGCAGCAGGACACAGGTGTAAATAACGGGGAAAGCACACATGCACATAATAAAACACCGGTGAAATCCCAAAGCAATAGTGGCGCCATTACTAACAGATTGCGTTGTTCTGAGAGAACCAGAAACCGTACCCTGCCGATGTGTTTTGAGTACTTACATGTTCCAGGCTCCCTGATGGCTGCTAAAGACAGAAAAACGTTCTTAGATACTGTGTCTTCTACGTCCCCCATTTCTATGAAATAATTGGTCTCTAAGGCTTGCATAATGATGTGGTCACATTGAGATCCAAGTGAATTTCCTCATAAAGTCAGAAGACCCTGGGGAAACAACATTGACTTTTCCTCCCCAAATCCATGGAAATGTAAACTTTACTGTTTTTGTTCTCCCTTGCAAATAACTGTGTGAGTCTTAGTTGCTGGGTTACTCTCTCAAACACAGGCTCCAAACTGCAGCCAGGGAAGTGCAGTTAGCAATCAAGCGAAGGAAATGACTAGTGGGTTTGAAACCCAACATACTGTCCCGTTCTTCACGTAGCGAAGCATCTCTGTTACCCAGACAACTTTTGTCACTAAGGAAGTACTTGTGACTCATCCTCACACAGAGTGACTTATTTAAAAATCTGAGTATTCACTAACCTTACCATTATGACTCGCTTTTCTTTTCTTTGGACTAAGGCAGAAAAAAAATACATCTGGATGGCTTATTACTCACTGGCTGATCTACATGTTACAATGCAATAAGCTCACGGTGATCGGAATAAAAGGTCAGTGGTTCTTGCAATATGTGAATGTGTTAATGTTGTTGCTGGAAACTTATTTCCTAACAAGAGATAAGATAATATTTCTCATCAATTATTTTGTACAGAATGTAATAAGCTATTTAAAATTGTAGTCATACTTATGATAATTAGAATGCAGAATTGTTTTATAGCATAGCATAAAGTGCCTTAATTTCTTCCACAGAGATGAAAAATAAAATTAAAAATCTCTCCTGGGAGGTGTCTAGAGGTGATAATTACACAAAGAAATGCAAAGGATAATACTTTGTCAGACTCTCCAGAATTTAATCTGTCTACTTGATCTCATAGATGTTACTTATTGACCATTGGGATTTTTTTCTGTGAAAAACAGTAGAGAAGTTGTATAAAAGTATTTATTTAAAAGAACAGATCTTCAATAATATATCTGGATTCATACAAGGAAAAAAAAAATCTTACCATCGACAGCTACAGCACCCAAAAGCCAAGAATATGAGCTGGCTTTTGAGATCCCTTCAAGAATCTTCTGGCTTGGGCTTGGGCTTTGCTGGGAGTATGTGGTACCAAACTGCAGGGTGGCTTGGGAAGGGGGACTCACCTGACCACTGTTACCTATTAGAACTGACTTCGGGAACCAAGCTGTAAGATGCTGAAATCTCGACAGCATCATTCTAGCATGTACCGTGGTGCTCTCCATGTAGATCTCCTGCTTCTAATTTGGTGGCTGGAAAAGCTTGAAAGAGGCGATGAGTCATTCTAAACATTTCTCTTTTTCTTCCAGATAGACGCTTACAATGGGAAGCCAAGTCATGTGGTTGATACACACCCGAGTCTTGCCATCTGAAGCGTTTTCTGGAGGGAAGCTATGAAAAGAACCTTTGGGAGGAGGTACTAGTGCGGTGGTTCTCGAGGACTGGTACCCTGACAGTCACCATTAGCACCTCCTGGCAATTTGTTAGAAACAGTCCCCATCCCAAACCTTGGTGGGGCAGTGCTCTGTGTTTTCAGAAGAATCCGTGTGATTCTGAGAACCTTGATCACAGTGAATCATTGGTATTTGTGGGCATAGAGGGGATGAATCATGCAGTGGTTGGAGGCTGAGGGAAATTGGTCAGGTTTTGCTTATGACAGGAGGAGGAAATGATAAAAAGCAGGCTTTGGGTGGGTGGCACAGTGCTTGTCTGCAACCCTAGCACTTGAGAGGTAAAGGCCGGAGAACCAGGAGTTCAAAGCCCGCCTCCACTACACAGTGGATTCCAGGTCAGCCTGGAATAAGATACCCACCTTCTCTCTCTCTCTCTGTCTCTCTCTGTCTCTGTCTCTGTCTCTCTCTGTGTGTGTGTGTGTGTGTGTGTGTGTGTGTTTTATGAATTATTTGTTAGGGTGTGGGTATGCATGCGTGTATGCACATATGTGTGGAGGCCAGAGACTGCCGTCACATGTGTTCCTCTTTGACTCTCACCTTATGCTCTTTGAGACAGTTTCTTTCCCTGCCCATAGAATCTGCTGATGCAGCTACACAGGGTAGCCAGCAAGTGCCAACAATCTTTCTGTCTTAGGCCTCTCACTTCCAACACTGGGATTTCAGGAAAGCACAGCTCTACTTAACGTTTATGTTACTTTTAAGTATCTGAACTCAGGTCTTCAGGCTTGCCAGTCAAGCAGTTAACAGACTGTGCCACTTCCTCAACCCCAAAGCCCTGTTTCAAAAAATATAAAGTGCATTTTTTAAAGGCATTAATATTATGAATTTAAAATAGTAAATAAGTAATAAAAGTGTGGCCTTTAATTTGTTGACTGGCTGCTTGTGTATGAATCGCAGAGGGACAATCAAGATGAGTAGGTTAATATATCATACACTATGACACGGTTCTGACATTCTAGAATAATTGTTCTATTGAGAAAAAGCATTCCACCAGGTCCTGGGGGTGCACACCTTTAATCCCAGCATTTTAGAGGCAGAGGTAGGTGGATCTCTGTGAGTTTGAGGTCAACCTTGTCTACAGAGCACTTTTCAGGACAGCCAGGACTACACAGAGAAATCCTGTCTAAAAATAAGTAAGTAAGTAAATAAATAAATAAAACTTCCCGAAAACCAAACTAAAAACCCAACCCGAAAAGGCATTCCTTTCCATATTAGGACAGAAATTTAATTCAACTTTATAAAATCCTATACTATTCTTATATTCCACTGACTTAGCCAACTCCGTCTACAGACGCCAGCTTCTACATCTGAAAACCATATGCATGGCCACTCTCCATGACTTATCTCATTGGAATGGGACAAGGGATTCTGTGTGTGTGAGAGAGGCACTGTGAAGATTGTGGGTAACAGGAAAAGAAAACCATAAAGATTGAGAAAGATTTAAATAAACTCTGATGTTGAGGGAGTTTCTAGAAATTGACACAGAAAATTACCTGCTTTCTTAAAATTCCCCTTGTGGTCAGGGACTTAATCCTGGAAATAAAATATTACTTTAGACTTTTATTTAACCATGTATTACTTAATCTTTTAACTGTAACTTGATGAATGTTCAGTTTCTGTTTTACATTAGTGAAAAATTGCATTAGTGAAAGTTACTTACAGAATCATTGTGAAAATAAAATTAGATAAATACGAGACGGCAGTTTTGAAAACACAGACATTACCACTTTTAGATATTATCCTTGGGATCTGAGTTCTTTGCTGTGTGGGTTGAAGAAGGTTCATGAATGTTGACATAATGACATCATCCAGGAGCTGGGACTAAGGATGCTCATCAGCAGATTTTGTGATTACAAAGATTGTCTGTGTTTATTTACGAACTAACTCAGCTTCAGGGGAATGCTTCAGTTTTCTTATGAAGTGAGGGAGATCCACATTTGTTTCAGTAAAGAAAGTGAGTCTAAAACTGGTATTGTTTCAATTGGTAAGTATGTCATCTGTTCTTTCAGGGAGAGAAGAGGATTTGAGATGAATCTCAAACAAGAACAGCAGACAAACGAGTAGTGCTCAAAGGGAAGGAAGACGAGGTCCCACACAACTATATGATTGAGAAAATAGGGTTTTCATAAGGAAACAAGATGGACGAGATGTGGGAAGGACAGAGAGGGAGAGCAAGGAAAGAGATACCTTGATTGAGGGAGCCATAATGGGACTAGCGACAAACCTGGCACTAGGGAAATTCCCAGGAATCCACAAGGATGACCCCAGCTAAGACCCTTAGCAATAGTAGAGAGGATACCTGAACTGGCCTTCCCCTGTAGTAAGATTGATGACTACCTTAAATGTCATCATAGAACCTTCATCCAGAAACTGATGGAAGCAGATGCAGAGATCTGCAGCTAAGCACCGGGTAGAGCTTCCTTAGTCCACTCAAAGAGAGGGAGCAAAGGAGTCAAGACCATGATAAGGGGCAGGAAAGAAATACCCACAGAAACAGCTGACCTGAGCTTATAGGAACTCACTGATTCTAGACTGACAGCTGGGGAAGCTACATAGGCCTAAACTAGGCCCCCTGAATGTAGGTGACAGTTGTGTGGCTTGGGCTGTTTGTGGGTTCACTGGCAGTGGGACCAGAATTTATTCCAGTGCTTGAACTGTCTTTTTGGAGACCATTTCCTATGGAGAGATACCTTGCTCAGCCTAGATATAAGGAAAAGGGCCTTGGTCCTGCCTCAAAGTAATGAGTCAGATGTTGTTGACTCCCACAGGAAGCCTTACCCTCTCTGAGGAGTGGGTGGGGGGGTTGAGGTGGGTGGAAGGTAGGGGAAGCAGGAAGAGCAGACGGAGAGGGAACCGGGATTGGTATATAAAATGAGAAAAGATTGTTTTAATCAACAAACAAACAAATAAATAAAATGAGTATAGGGTTCTCAAAAAGGTATCGTAGACAAATATGGAAGAGAAAACTAGATAGTTATAGAAAAGTCTGTTTCATTTTGTCACTTTGCAATAATTATTGTGAAAATCAGTTTGTTAAACGAGGAGAACATGGACATGAAGTCTGCTCATTTTCCCAAAGGACCTTCTACATTGCAGCGGCAAAGGAGTCGATGGCAGTATTTGTCTCAGAAAATGAAATACCTTGTGCATCGAAAAACATGAAGCCTAAGTGGAAAACATAATGAAGTCGGTATTGTTTTTAATATGTGAACAACCATGTGAAAAAGACGAAAAAAAATGTGATAATTGGATAGGAAATACATATAATTCAAGCAGGGAAAGGACAACTATTACAAGTGATTGACAAAATAAAAGAATTTCATATGGATGATAAATGAATAAGCATCCTTGATACCAATACAAACAAGGTGAACAAAACATGACTTGTCATCTTTTAGCATGAAAAGAACACGTTTGTTTAAAAAGATATGAAAGACAACACGTCCCTGGCAGTGCTGGTAGGAATTAGGGTTCTTCCCTTTCTGGAAATCAGTTTGGTTACAAGTTTAGGAAATCTTTTTTTTTTTTTTTCATATAGTCTTCCCAGAAGTATCTGATGAGACTAACAGAAGCTTAGAATGTTAATAGTCAGGAAAGTGCATTTATACTGATTTTTGTACAGAGAAAATTTCCTAAGTATTGAATACTAAGAAAATAGGAACATATATTTTTTGTTTTTATGAACCATTGAAACAAGGTGAAAAACACACTGAGAATATGTGAAATTGATGGCCACGAGAGAGCAAGGCACAATCAAGGTTTACAGAAGATGTTTTATTATTTATATACTGCTATTTGTTTATCCTTTACACCAGACAGTAAATATAACATGTAAAAGTTGGTGTGTCTAATGAAGTGCAGTCAATAATGATAAAATGTGAAGAGGCTGTGTGTGTGTGTGTGTGTGTGTGTGAGAGAGAGAGAGAGAGAGAGAAAGAGAGAGAGAGAGAGAGAGAAAGAAGAGAGAGAGAGAGAGAATTTTGCACAGGATTCTGATTTGGGTAAAAGATAATTAGTGCAAATCAAGGAGAAACACTATAATGTCAACTATAGCTTCTCACATCTCCTTTTCTCTTCATATGTTTCCCTATGTTCTAAACGACGTGCATTGGCGTGAATGTTTTATCACTAACTAAAAGGAGAGAGATTGGGCCAATGAGAGATTCTGGAATTCAGCTTGAGCTTCCTCCATTCTGGGCATTTCCAGTGTGTGTTTATAAGCCCCTTTAGGGGACTTTCTAAAAATCTGGATCAAGTTAATGATGTTAAGTGTTTGCATTTTCAAAACCGTTACCTTTGCCAGGATGTATAGGCATTGTTCTTTCTGCTGGTCTCTCCCCACCCTGTTCTAGGATTCCTTTTCAACTGAAGGGAGTGCAGAAAGCTGCGCCCTGCAGATTCCTGACATTCCTTCCCAACCAGAGTCATCTTGAGCTGCTAGTGTGAAATTCTTCCTCAAAATACACGCTACCCCTCCTCCTCGTTATAGGGTGGCAGTCATATTTTTTCATAGCTTCTCTCATATCACTTTCCTTCTTTAATACTTTGACCAAATAAATCTGTCAACCTGGTGAACATCAATTCATGTGACAGTGATCGAATCACATTTTCTTCTTTTCTTCCTTTTTCTTTTCTTGCACTGCTATGGATCAAATCCAGGGTCTTGCATAGGTCATGAAAGCACTGCACCACTAGACTCACCAACCATCATTCTTTTACATTTTTTATGCATCTTTACTATTGTTATCACCATCATTGTTACTGCTATTCTTCCCTTTTGAGACAGTCTCATAGCCTAGGCTGGCTTGGATCACGCTGTGTAGCCTATGCTTCATGGCGCATGAACTCTGAGCTGGCCGAGTGCTGGGCTTACAGGTTTGCACTGTCACACTAACTAACAGCCTTTTCTCTTTCTAAAAAATCACATATTTTAAAAAGTTAAAACGATCAATATTGACTAATAAACATTTTAATTATCTCTACTGTTTTTGTTTGTTTGTTTGTTTTTTCCAAAGCAGGGTTTCTCTATGTAACTTTGGAGCCTGTCCTGGAAAAACTGGCCTTGAACTCACAGAGATCTGCTGGTCTCTGACTCCTGAGTGCCGGGATTAAAGACCTGTGCCACCACTGCCTGGCCTTCTCTACCTTTCTTAAAACAGATTAATCAATATTGTCTGACTTAATGTCAGCTTATTAACAGAATGTTCTTCTGCCATCTATAGAAATGTTGCTAATTTTAGCCTCTCAGTCCAAAGCCTCTTTGGGGAATTTAGGTATTTTAACTTAGGAGCGACTACCTTAGATGGAAAGAAGAATCCGGAATCAGTTTGCAGGAAAAAGTTGAAATGAGGGTTGATGGTCTCTGTGTAGCAACTATGAAAAGTAGTTTTGAGGAAAAGCTATGCTTGTTTTAGACTCACATAGGTTACTTATGAAGATAAAGATACCATTTTAACAAATTGAAATAAATGCAAGATTTTCTTATATAGAGTAGATGGATGTAATGTAATCTAAAGAAGTATTATTGTATTTTAATTGTTTTTACATAATTGTTGGATCATACACAAATGATGCCAAATAATATTGTTGTGTATCTAAACTAATACCTAAAAAGCAAGGGCAAAATATACAATTCTTGTATAGGATCTTTCTTTGGGTTGTAGTTTATCGATTTTGATGATGTAGTCATTAAAACTGAAGATGAAGAATAGATTTTATGGAGTCTGTTGCAAGGTGGTTCAACAGAGCTTGCTTCCAGACCTGACGGCATAGGTTCAATCTCAGAAGCCGACATAATGGTAAAAGAGAATCAGCTTTTGCTGACTGTCATTTTGTTGCCACAAGTGTGGGTGTTCACACACATACACTAATACATACCCACATTTGCACACACACACACACACACATAAATAAATATGTGTAAATAAAATCAACAGCTATGGAAAAGATTCTGGTGCGTCATGATCTAGACTTCCAGGTTCTCCCAAATCTGTGGCATCAGGCATGATTCACAAGCCTTCAGAGTCTTCATAGCTTTATCTGTACAGCTCAGGTTGGAATAAATCAGTGTTTTACAATCAGTGTCCCATGAAGTTATGTAGAGGTGGCCACAAGATGGATGGGGTAGAAGAGGTTATCAGGTATTTTTCTCAGTCTGCTGGCTTTAGTACTTCAACAGCAGAGGGTGTGTGTGTGTGTGTGTGTGTGTGTGTGTGTGTGTGTGTATTTAGTCTGTGTGTCTATGTACATATGTGTGCATTGTGTGTCTGTGCATGTGCTTGTGTATGTGTGTGTCTGTGTACATGTTCACTTGTGCATCTATGTGCATGTGTGCCTCATGTATACATTTATCTCTGTGTGTATATTTGTTTCTGTGTGTGCATCTGCATAAGCGTGCACGTGTATGCATGTGTGTATTTCCATGTGTGCACCTGTTCTGTTTCACCATATCTCTCTACAGTGATTCTGAATAAAAATTCTTTTGAAGAAGCGTTCTCTCTCTAAAAAGTAGTGTGAAAAACTAATTGTTTTTTCACAGTAATTGTTAAGGTTCAGTTTCACGCTAACTTTCTATGAACCCATGGAAAGGGTTTTAAAGACAGATCCCATTATTTTTCTAAAACACAATCCTTAAAATTTGCATGAAAGATTTTTCAACTAGGGATCTCAGAAATGTCAAAGAACAAAATCGGTATTATAACCTATAACTGAGGCAACCAATCAGGCTCATGGCTTCAACATTTTCAGAGACTGGAAGTTTTCTTTGTAATCTACGTCTTAAAAATGTATTGTTTTTCTCCTTGTGGGAAGCAGGAGATGGGAATGCTCGCAGCTGTAAGTTGTAGACTATTCCTTCAACAGGAAATTACTTATCCTTAAAGTCGCCAGGAAGTTCATTTTCCATCTGGTCTTTTTCTCTTGAGAGTTTATCCTGTCCCAGACAGAACACATTTTCTTTCCTGTTTCTTTTCCTAGGTGACAATCTATCAACAAGGCAACTGGACACTGGAAATGAGATGAAATGTTTGGCTTAAAAATTTGCTTTTGAATTCCTTTTTTTCTGTAGTTTTTGAGCCCTGTTTTTAAAAAATGTTTAGTTTCCTTTCTGTTGAGTAAAAATACTGACAAGATGTAACTTAGGGGAGGAGAGGATACAATGTGCTTAGAGTTCTGGGTCATAGTCAATCATTGAAGAAAATCAGGGGAGAAACTTTATTAGAAGCTGGAAGTGGAAACTACTGGAGAAGACTTCTTGCTGGCTTGTTCCCAGGCTCATGCTTGTCTAGCGTTTTTATACAGCGGAGGGTCACCTGCCCAGGGAATGGAGCTGTCTACGGTGGACTGGGTCTTCCTACATCAAATAATAACCCAAACAATCTTCCGCAGATCGGCCACACAGGCCAATCTGCTCTGGGCAATCCCTCAGCTGAGCCTCCTCAAGTGACTCTAGACTTTGTCTAGTGATATTTAATTGTTCATTTGGCAGTCAGTATCCAACTATTAATTAATTAATGGTTTGACTATGAAATGTCATTTAGGTTTACGGTTTCAGGAAAAGAGTGGTTGGAGCTATTGTTTTGACCCTGAGGTGCGGGAGAACATCTTGGAAGTGGGGAAGATGAAGCAACTGTTCACTTTATGGTGTCCAGGAAGCAGAGTAAAGATGATAGCAAGGGGCCAGGAACAAGATGTGCATGTCAAAGACCAATTTCCTCCCACTTAGTCTTCACAACCAAGTGGTCCATTTATCTATGAACAGTCCATTGACAAAGTTAGTATCCTCATGTTCCCATTGCTTCTCAATAGTACCAACACCAACAGCAAGCAAGCTTTCTACACACAACACTTGGGGCCATTTTTATCTCCAAACAATAACGTTAGGCTAAATATTTTTAATCCTCATTTAATCTTTAAAACCACGTGTTCCCTTATTGCTACATTTATTAATGTTCACTTAGTTTCAAAGTGGTTAAATGGCTTTCCTCAAACCACACTGGAAGGAAATGCGGGGTTGTCATTCTCATTTATATTCTAGCTCTTGAGATTGCGCTCATATCCACAACACAGCTCATTATAGGATCATTTCTTCAACGTCAGTACAGAGGCGTACTCTAAAGGGAACTTCCGAACCTTTCTTCTGCATGTAATTTCCTCCCCCGAGGACATTTATTGTTAATTTATTCTAAATGACGACTTTCTATTTCCTCTTCAAATGAACCATTCCTTTTCTGTGTAGACCAGAATGCTACTTGCTCTTTTCTGAAGCTGACATGGGCCGGGCATGGGTTCCTGAGATGTGAGCCTGTATAGGAATCCAAGTCATATTTCAGTTGCAAATAAAGAGTCAAAGATGATTGACAAAACTATGTGAAGCCTATGGAAGACCTTGGTGAGTTTTAATGGATATCAGTGATGCGCAGGAGAGAAAGAAGGATTCCAAGATGTGCAGCGAACCCCTTAATGATTGAGAATGTGCTGTTATTATTTTAATACACTCCTTGGTATTATATTGTATCTTTATTTATTTGTGATTTTTCTTTTTGTCGAGACAGAGTTTCTCTGGAGCTTTGGAGCCTGACCTGGAACTAGCTCTTGTAGACCAGGCTGGCCTCAAATTCACAATTTGTGATATGTTTTACATATATACCCTGATTTTCTTGGTGTTCATGTACATTGATTTAGAAATAAATTTTCCACTGCAAGAAAAAATTCACTAAAAATTCCAAGTTTTGCTATTTGTTTCTATTTTTACTGTTTTTCCTCTATCTATGAATCTTACACTCTTATTCAGTGACTCCCCATTGTGCTGCCACTATGCAAGCCTCCCTATTACCCCCCAAAGAACACAGTCTGCACATCAGCTGGACTCTACAGGGCCTGCCATCTACCAAGGCTTCCATGGAGAGCACAGTAAATTGTTATTCTTAAGTCTCTGTGCTTTCCTGACACGTATGAATGTGCCTGTGTGCCCATGCTCTGGTGCACGTGTGTGACAGTACATGACCAAAGGCTAGAGGATGACCTGCAGAGGTCTGTTCTCCCTTCTACCGTGCAGGTCCTGAGCACTGAACTCAGATTATCAAGCTTGGTGGCAAAAGCCTTACCCCTGAACCATCTCTCTAGCCCTAACTTCCATTTTCAGAGTAACTATCACATGTGGTTAACTTTAGAGAACTATTATGTTAAAGACATGGTTCATGCGACATGAAAACTGGGCCAGAGGAAATGGAAAGGGTTTAGTTTTATAAACAAGGAGAGCTACATTTTAGCAGTTAAGGAGCTGAATAGAAATGAACTGGACTTTCTATCCTAAGAATTTAGTAGGAAGGTTCCATGAGATTTCTGGGCAAGGCAAAGAACACAGCAGACAATGTAAGCAGAGAAGAGAAGGGAAGTTTAGAGAGTGCCAAGAAAGAAGAGAAAGCTAAGGCCACATTGTGGAGACACTCAAGAGTCCTTGTCATCACTACGTCACCAGTCAGTGTGAAGTCTGGTCCTCTGCCCCTCAGGAAGCTATTATTTTCATTAACTCTGCCATATTTGTATACCCTGACTTTCTCTACAGGGTAAGATCTTTGGTTTCATTTACTTAGGTTTCCAGCTGAACAGATTCTTGATTGATTTAATATATTGGTTGTTGAATGTATATAAATATATGAGACTATACATTATCCTTTATATTTTATGTATGGATATTTATTGATGATACTAATATTATATAATTGGCTTTAGAAAAACTTTTCATTAATTATATGCTAGAGTACATATAGTTTCTATAAGTTGAATTGGTTAAATCCTTTATTTTCTTAAGACATTTAAAAAGCCTTCTGTCTAGACATCTCAATTTGAATACAGGGGTAAATTAGAGCCTACTTTTTCAGATACTAATTCACTGCAAAGCTCTTGGTAACCATCTCTTCCCTCTTCCCGCCCATCTTTCAGAAGAGGAAATCAGGTTATCTCAAAGTCACACAGCCCGTTACTGGCAATGCCAAGGCTAAATCCTAGTTATCTTTCTACTTCATGCCACCCTTTCATATCTAAATAAGTGGTCAGTAAATGCAGAACACATAAAGGACAATGTATATTCGTCAATTAAAAACTTAATTTTATAGACCACAACAAGATGTATCAACCAGTTCTAAAATTCAGATATACTAGTACACGTTAAGTAACAACATGACATGAGTCAGCATGCAAAGTTTCTAATGAGTCAGACATATTTATTACAAATCATATTCTCAAATTCCTCCTAATAAGACCTAAAGTTAACTGTGGTGACACTGAGAAGAAATAAAGTAGACACTGCATGATAAGACTATGTCCTTTCCTCTAAATGGGTGCTTAGTCTCAGTTCACAATGCAGTCTCCACAACTCAGCCTGGGACTGACTATATTGCGGAACAACCCTAACCCTTGGAGGTCTATAAACAACAGTGGCTATATGATGCTAATAGCATATGTGGGCTATTATGAGAAATTAACTAATTCATTTTTAGAATAGTAGTATTTGGATTTTCCCCATAGGTCCTTGAGTCAGGTTCTTGGTCACCCTAGCAGTGCTGGCTATGGGTTACATCTTGTGGAGTGGGTCTGCAGTCAAGTCAGATATTGACTGCTTGTGCTCACAAAATTTGTGCCATCATTGCAGTAACATAACTTGCAGGGAGGAAAGCATTGTAGATCAAAGGTTTAGGACTGGGTTGGTGTTTATGCATCTATGTTGGTAGCATGCAGCATACCTTTCTGTGCCTAAGAAGCTACCACGCAGAGGTGGAGGCTCCATGTGAGCACCAGCTCGACTTCTCCACGCTCAATGAGTTGTTCAATGGTGTTGTCTTCAGCAATGGGACCACACTGTCAGTTTGTGGAAAGCAACTTATAGTTTTGGCAACAGGCTGCGGTGTTTGGGAGTTTCCATGGGAGCACTTGGGCCAAAATGACTCCTACTGACATTCTGCTATACTCATAGACCAGTGCCTTGCTCAGCCATCATCAGAGAAGCTTCCTCCTGTAGCAGAAAGGAATTAATAGAGAGACCCACAGCCAGACATTATACAGACTAAGGGACCTTGAAACATTTAGCTGTAAATGAGATGTCTCTATCAAATTCTTCTCCTGAGGGATCAGTCAACTCCATAGAAGAGGAGATGAAAACAATATAAGAGCCAGAGAAGATGGAGAACACCAGGAAAACAGGCCTTCTCAATCAACATGATTGGCATGCATTGAACTCACAGAAACCGAGTAGCACACACAAGATCTGCACAGATCTGTACCAGGTGGGGTTCTAGAGAAGTAGATACAAGCCTCCATCCCAAACCCAGAACTAACTTCCAACTCATAACCACTTGCAAATGAAAATGTAGTTTCCTCCAAGGGAGTCTCACTGGGGAAATAACCTACTCTTAAGGGTAGGCTGCATGCTCAGTAGTAACTGACCAACAAAAAATGAACTCAGTGACATCTTTTTAGTTTTCTTGTCTCACAATGTTGTTTCAGGCTCTTTCTTTTCTTTTAAATTTCACCTTAATACTTTTTATTTTATTTATATATTTTTTCTTTTCTCTTTTTACCTACAACAGGTCCTTTGCATATACACGATGGTTCCCAGCTTAGTGTTTTTATGAGTATAAAAAGGAGCATGTCTGTCTCTTGCGCCTTCTCTTGGGCACCTTTCCTTTTTGCTTTGCTCAATGTCAGTGTGTTAGTTTTTGTTTTTATCTTATTTTATCCCCTAGAAGCCTATTTGTTTTCTAATAAGAGACAAGAAAGGGGTGGATCTGGATGGGAGGGGAGGTGTCAAGGAGAAGTAGAGGAAAGGGAAATTGTAATCAGGTTATATTATGCAAGGGGAAAAAAGAGACCTATTTTCAATAAAAGAAAAAAAAAACAGCCTATGTTGGGGTTTTTACCAAGGTAAAATAAAATTAATTCTATTATCATTTACAGAAAACATCCTCTCTGTTAATAATGCTTCCCCAGGGCTCTGCTCTAAATACTTGTAATTTTGGAACTTTCTTTCGGGGAGAACCGGGTAAGATTTAACTTCGAAGTGAGATTCACACCCCTAGACAAAGTAACCAGGATATAACTCCATACTCTAGCACAGGCACACCAGGGAGCATGTGGGTATGAACTCAAGAGTCCTCAAAGAAATACTTGATCAGGTCAGACTTGAAAAGAACAAAAGGAGCCGGCCATTAAAAACGACTCTAATCAGTAATTCACTTCAAATTCGATGGCATTTTCAGTTCTCTACTGAGGGGTTTCTTTCTCACTCAAGGTCACAGAAAACAACCAACAAGAAAGATAAAGCACAGCGTAGAGGCTGCCTCTCACTTGGGAGGCCATATTAAATAGTTGTCTGTCCTTTCGTACCCTTCCTCACCCCTGCACAGCCTTAGGCTCCAAGCCTGAGTTAGCAACAGGAGGTTGGGGAACTGAAAAGCCGCGGAACCAGAAGCAAAGGGGGCGGAGCGGACGGGGGGGTAAGAGTAGCGGAGGACCGGTAGGCCTAGTTTCCAGGCTGCGGTCGCGGTGGCGAGGCATGGAGCCTCTGCGTGTCTTGGACCTGTATAGTGGCATTGGTGGCATGCACCACGCGCTGCGAGGTGAGAGCGGACAGAAAACTTCTCATTGTTTCACTCGGGCCGCAGGTTCCGGCTCCCGCGCCGCCAAGGGGCGGAGGGCGGGGCGGGACCTGGTGGCAGCCGACCTCGGTTGCCCTGGAAACCACTTCACCGCCCGGCCCGCCCCTCAGGGCTGCGACTCCCCTATTCTGGCCCCAAGCTTTGTAGCCTAAGCAGGCTGGGCGCCCCAGAGTACTGTCTGTGAGGCGGGATCCTTGAGTCTGGGAAGTCAAATGAACCTAATTTGGTTCAGACAAAGTTAAGGAAAGAGGAGACCCCTTTGCTCAGGGCCAAAGCTCAAATTGTAGGCTGTCACTGAGCCTGGAGAAAGGCACGAAAACAGGAGTGGATGGGTTGGAGCAAGGCGATAACTACAATTCAAGCTAGAAATTTACAAGAATTAGTGTGTAGGGGAAGCGAAAAGGGGAGGGAGCATGGTTAAGTCCGTGGAAAGAAACGTGTCTTCTGCAGGCCCACACAGATGCCAGGGAACGGGGATCAAATTTTTCAATAGTGTGACTTTGGCTTTGCAGTTTCGAACCTGTTGCTTGGTTTTAAATGTGTGAAATAGGACTTCCAGAAAGAGACCTCGAAAATTAAAGCTAGAGTAAGGTGCCTGGCAAATTAGATTGCTGCCACTCTTGTTTTGAGGCTGTTTAATTTCTTTGTCCACTTTTTATGATACTAACTCAAAACCACTTACTTTGTGAACTCCATTGCCATGTACTGTATGCTAGGCACTTACGTAGTGAAAAACATTGGATGTGTGTATGTCTGTTCTGCTAACACAAATACAAAACAGAAACTTCTCTGCTCCCTTTTTCAGTACCACGACTTACAATAGACTAAGAAGCATCCAGTTTCTAGTGATTGAACTTGTACATGTTTTTCAACAACTATTGATTTTTAAATCTCTTCTAGGTTAGAAATATTGCATCTATCACTGCTTTTTTCTGGTCTTTACATTCATTTATCACTTTCAAATAAGTAAATTAGAGAAACTTGTTCTATTTGCTTTATTAATTTTGCAGGGCCGTATAGTGTTAGCATTTTCCCCTTGTCTTAAAATTTTTTGGTTGTGAGCCTAGACTTTAAAACGACTGAGCCATCTCTCCAGCCCATCTTGAAACTTTTAATTAACACAATTTTGAAAGCCACTTAGTACTTTATTATAAGCTACACATAACAATTACTTACATTTCGAACTTGCAGATTTCTCCTATCTCCCCCCAACACAATGTGCTTCAAATAGATCCTTGAGTGTAAATCTTGATTCTTTTTCTTAAAATGTGCTTATGAATTTTGGAATAATTCATCCAACAGTGAAGGTTAGAATCACAGATGTTTCTCATCTGGACTATGAGCTGTTTTCTGCCTACCCTGCTGTCCTCTTGTCTAGACTCAGTGGGCTCCATGTGCTTTCTGTGTTCCTTCACTTTTCTAAGTCCCGGACTTTTCTGTGATACCTTCCCTCTGTCCCCTTCTTAGATTAGTTAATATATGGCCTATTAAGAGATTCTTGCCCTGTTATCGAAAGTAAGTTTTCTACTTTCCCTCCATCTTTGGTTTGAGGTTTGCTTATAAAAGAGGTCATGATCATATTAATGCAAATAGGTTTTTTAGTGTTTATCTGTTTGAGGAACTTTGGTTTTAAGTTGGTCTGTAATGAAGTACACTTTGGTGTATTCTTGTATTTATGTATCTAATAAAGATTGATAGCAGTGACTGCAGACTTTTAGTTTTATTACATCAGGACCTGTACTGAGTCTGTAATAAGCCAGCTTAGTGGTAGAGCCAGTACCCGACTTGGGTCTATCAGATCTTTTAATCATTCTCTGTTTCTATCATTGATTCCATTTACTAACTTACTTGAAGAAGAGCAGTAGTAAGAATATTGAATGTTCATTTGTCTACTTCTTTTTTTTTTATTTGTCTACTTCTAGATAATGTTTGCAGTGGAACAATGGAATATTTTATTGTTGTAGTTATGTTTCTATACACATATATCACACACTATAAAATGTATCACTTTGTGTCTCAGTGTACAGTTCAACAACAGTAAGTATGTTTACAAAGTCACACAATTGTAACCAATATTAGTTTTTAGAACATTTTCAATATCCTAAACAGAAGGGTGCACCCACTTAAAAATATCTCTGCCCCCCCTTTCTCAAGTTATTGAAGTCTCCATTCTACTTCGGCCTTATGAACTGTCTATTCTAGGTACCTTATAAGTAGAACCATCTAACTATCCTATGATGTCTGGCTTATTTTAACACTTGTTGCAGTGTTTGCAAAGTTCAACAATCTTGTAATATGTGACAATGTCTCATTCCTTTTTTATAACTGAAAAATATATTGTTGTATATATAACAAGTTTGTTTATTTATTGTTAATAGATGCTTAAATGTTCCAGCCTATTTGTTATTGTGAATAATCTCTCTGAATATTGGTATATAAGTATCTGTTTGGATTCCTGCTTTGAATTCTCTTGAATATATACTTAAGAATGGACAAACCCCAAACATTCTCTGCTTCAGTATCTTCTCTCATAAAATGAGAACACCGTAATACCTCTATATCAAAAGGGAGTTGTAAGAGTATAAATTAATTTTTAAGAAATATTTATAGGTCTGGGAGTTGACTCAGGGAGCAAGAGCACTTGTTTCCCAAGCCACAGGACCTGAGTTTAAACCCAAGCACCCATGTAAAAAGCTAGCAGCTACAGCATTCCAAGGGGAAAGCAGGTGGATTCTAAGAGCTCACTGGTCAGATGGAAATGAAATCTGCTTCACTTAGAGACCTTGTCTTAAAGCGTTAGCATGGAAAACGGTGAAGGGAGATACTCAACATCCTGTTGTGATCTTTGTGTACATGAACACACACACACACACAAGGTATTTACACAGTACGTATGTAGCAAGTACTCAATACATATGGGCATGTTGCTCATGAATCATAAAGTTATAGAAAGTTATTATATATTGTTTAAAAAATGACCTGTGGAATAAATTGATAAATATTTGAAGTTGCCTGACTGTTGCAGGATGTTTGATCACACTGTGAGCCCTGAGATTGTTTTATTTATTGGGAAAACCTATTTCTAGTTATGATGTGACTCAGCCCTATCACACATGTTTAGTCAAAGAGCTTTCTGCTTGAATATTGTAAACAGGGTTAAATAAAGTCAACCATAAGTCAAGAGGCAGAGCAATTAACCAGTCGACAGGAAGTGAACATAAAATTATTAAGAAAAAAATATAGAGAGTTAGAGGGAGTCAGAAGGGCAGATAGAGAGACACAGGAAGTAGAAGGGAAGGACTATGAATTTGGGGATATTTGTTTGAGCCTGGAAGAGACAGAGCAGAATTGTAGGACAAAAACAGAGGAGGAAGGTCAGTCAGGTGGGTGCTTTCTCTACCTTTATGAGCTAGCAGGCTTTCACCCCAGCATCTGGCACCCAAGTATTTATTGGTAAAAAATCAAATGATTGAGATTTTGTTCAAAACAACACCTGGCCTTCCAGTGCTGTTTCTTTCTTTGAGAGATAAAATAATGACTTTATTTTGAAGTAAGATGAATAAAGGTTGATTCCATAATGCTTGTGTGAAAATTTAGAAGTTTTTTTTTTTTAAAGCTTTTCTGAGTGTGAATGCCCTTTCTGTGAGATGGACATGCATTGTGAGAATTGAGAAAAAGAGCATAAAGGTACTCAGTAAATGTTTTTCTCTTTTTTTCTCAGTTAACTGTTTTCACTAATAATAATTGTGCTAACTGTATAATATTTTATATTATAGAATTTGAAATGCTAAGTTACTATTGATGAAAATTGAATGCTTCCAAAAAGAATTAACTATTAAGCAAATAGAACTCAGAATGACAAATTGAAACAGGATTTTCAGAGGCTAGTTTTGGGAGATCTTTATGAGTGATACAATAATTGTTTATATATTATATATTGAATATGTTACACACACAAAGACATACACGGTTTGTGTGTGGCTGTGTGTGGCTGCTGGAAGAGGCTATTGGAGGTTGTTAGATTTCCTGGCACTGGAGTTACAGTTGGTTGTGAGCACAAAATGTAGGTGCTAGGAACTGAACTGAGGTCCCCTGGAAGAGTAGTAAGTGCTCTTAGTCACTGAGCCATCTCTCCAGACCCTATAGTTATATTTTATGTCAGTTTTGATAGTTAATTAGAGGTGGAATACTGTTTTGTCCTCTCCTGTAGTTTTTATTGACTTCTACCTGAATGTGTCAAACATTGTGAAGTTATCGATTATTGAGAAGACATCAGCAAAGAGCATTGCAAATATCCTACAGTAGTGGAATGTTTACCAAATGGCTCTATTCCCTCAAAGCAAATTTACAGAAGATGCATTCACTTCATTGTTGAAGTCTGTAATCAGCTTCATCCCATGTATTTGTGTTACTTGTTCTCTAGTTACATAGCTTATTTCCTTTGAATTCTGCATGTGACCTTTAATTGATTCCGGTCTATAAAGAACTATAAAGAACTTTAACTTTTGTTTATTCTTTTCATTGATTCAGTGGAATCAAGTCATGCATTGAGTTACTGTTGTTTATGTATGTGTTCACAGCTTGAAAAGGTGTGTTTTGAGGAGTATCTTTTGTAGTTTATCTTTGATATTTTCCTTTTATTTCTCAGGCTCATAACAAAAAGACCATTGAGTTCTTTTATTCTGATATCAATATCAGAAAAGTTGATTTATTTGTTTACTTTGTACAGATTGTAAAACTAGTACATTTTCTGGGGTCATGGTGGGGCATGCCCCTTACCCCCACTTTCAGAATATGAGTCAGGGGGATGAATAGTTTAAGGCTAGCATGGGCTCCATGGTGAGAACATGGCTCTGAAATCAATTTAGACGTAATAAAACAAACAAACCAAGAAGTAGTTCATCCTCACTGTCTTTAAAAAAAAAAATTGAATAGTACCAAGAAGCAAAGATCCTATCTCC